GTATACATTATATACATAGATATATATATCGAATGAAAGGCCCTTCAATCATCTTTCCAACTGTGCCCATATTTAGAAAATCGGTTTAATAGTTTTCGAAATATAAGCTTTTGAAAATGTTGAAAATTCCACGTATAGCCCCTCCTATCGCCGCCCCTGTCAATTTGCACCAAAAAAAATATGCTGTTAAAATCCGGAAAAGGGGGCGGGCCACGCCCACTTTTTTTTCTCTAGCTCAAAGGTCCGTATTCTTTAGATGTTCCGAATTATTATTCTTGACCTTAATAATGACTTTCAAAAATAGATGGTTTACATATTTTCCTTTTTTTGGCATGAAACCAGTATGCAATTAAGTTTTTAAAAAGTTTTAAATTGTTTTTAAATTTCATACTGGTTTCAGGAAAAAATTTAAATCTGCAATATTTGAAGGCTTAAAAAGCCATGAAGTAGAGGGAAAAATTCCGAAAGAAAATTCGCCTTGGTATCGAGCTTCGATACGAGATTATGTTCTCGATACCTACTCAGTACCCTGCAAGAAGCCTGACCTATGATTATTAACTATTAATTAGTGGGAAAACTGACTAAAAATTTTCGTCAGTTTAGCGGTTAGTTTTCTATGTGCTTGGGAAAAAAAGTAACCACTTCTCCGGGCGTGTGATAGTGCATCCCTTTCTTGAACACACATGGGCGCATTCTCCTTACAGTATGTGCACTCGCTCACACATGTCATCTAGTTGGTGATGTACAAGTGAGTTTAGCGATGAAACTATTGGGAAAATATCGCGATAATTAGTGATTTTTCTGACCACTATTCTAACCTCTAAATAATTGATAAATTAATATATGGCAGCGAAATATCCAAAAATACATGAAACCAAATTAAATAAAAAAAAATATAGTTTAAAAAACCAAAACCTCGCTATTATAATTTCCATTCGTACTGTCATCAGGTATGTAACTTGAGAACAGAAATCGCTGCATCTTTTAGGCGCATCAATATTACATAGTTACATCCCGAGCTAATAAAAGGGAGGTAAAAATACAATTCCATTTAGTTTATTTGTTTGGTTTTATTTGTAAAAATATATTGTCGAATATTAACTTTATTTCGCAAGCTTTTTCAGAGCCACTGAGCTCAGACAATTTTTTTAATTTTTCATCGGGGTCTGAATTTTCGTCGCTAAAAACAAATGCCTAAGCGTCGTTTGGTCTTTCTACCTCCATTCCTAGGTTCTGCTGGAGTCCCACGTTGGCGTTGCACTGTATTTCAGCACTGTAGTCACTGACTCCACAGTCGGCCTAAGCACACTGGCCTAAAATTTTTTCTTCCCTATCCACATAGCGCTAAAAAAGTTTTGTTTGCTCATTTTTTGGTAATTCTCTAGTATAGGGCTGCAACTGCTAAAAAAAGGTCAGGAAAAGTCGGGAGGGTACCAAACGACGCGTTTTGGTCGCTCTATTAACAATCCGGAGGGGGAGGGCTAATATTACTAACCATTTAAAAGTTATAAAAAAAACTTTTGTTAAATATCGTTGTTTTCTATGAGCAATTATCTCGTCAAAAATGCCATAAATCACCAGTTTCCTCTTTTAAAACACTATTAAAATGTATAATTTAACTTTATTATTAAACAAACACATAGGCGCATATTCATAGTCATATTTAGTACTCATCTAAGTCGAAACTATTCTAAGTCACAACTAAAGCTATTCATAGTCGCCTTAGTTTCGACTTTTCTGGCTAAGTACCAACTTAAAATTTAGTTTCGGCTGCAGCTGCTACCAAGTCGTAACTAGGAAGAAGTATTTTATCAAATTAAGGGGAAAACAGACTAAATATATAAAAATTAAGTTGGTAGAGGGTGATTTTGATAATATTGAATAATCTCCAATTAAAATTTACGAAGATCGATCCATTTTAATCGGAAGATGAAATTAAATGCGTATTACAATTCGAATAAAGCTACATCACAATTTTATAATTGGAATAATTTAGATAAATTCCCAAATAATAAGTCAGTTTCACGCTAGTTCTTTTAAAGTAAATTTGTGCATAACATTTAGATATCTACTATTTGTATGTTTCACAGCATGCTTTCGATAAACATCGACTTCACATCACTGCGGTTGTTCTGGCTATTTCACACAATTAACAAGAAAATGATACCTTATTCTTTTGCATAATCATGCAATGAAAATAAAAATTACATAAACGGATGATCAAACTTGACATTATTTAATAAAAATGTAATTTTTCCAAAATATCGTAAAGAAAAATCCATACATTTTCACACTCGTTTTGCTATATCGTAAACTAAGTCGAAACTACTTAGTAGAAGTCTGAAATGCGACTATGAATAGAGGTAAATTTTAAGTTGGTACTTAAATTTAAGTTGCAAATTTGTTAGTTTCGACTTAGTTGCTGGACTATGAATACGCGCCATAGTTTTTTCAACATAAAATAGTTTATTTTGTTACTAAAAAAAAGTTAACAATCTTTCCGAACTGAAACGCGACATTGCAAAATAGCTGCAGAACTGCCACTGTATTAGCGTTTCGTAATAATTTATTTTTCCGTACAAGACGTTTGCAGCATTGTAGAAGAATACAAGTGAGATATCTTAGGGTTGACAGATAGTTGACAGGGTGTTCAATATGGCGACGACAGTGTGAACAATATGGCAAGCAAAACCGAACGGCCCGAAGCTGCAAAACTATGATCCGAATGAAATAATTCGCGAAAAAATAACGGGAAATGCCAGGGTTCCGAGGTGCTGTTTGGTGACCAGGGTTTTGTGCAGCTCCGAAAAAAGATGAATAGTGTTGCTTTGCAGCATAATTTTTTAATTATAATTTTATTCCAAATAAAGAAAAATTAAATTTTATCGAGTTTCGAAGGAACAAGAAATATCAATAAAAATAATTTTAAACTATGGTTTTTATTAAATTGCGTAAATTTTTTTATTTATTTTGAGACAAAATGTAAGTATACTTATTATTTCAGCATGCTACTGTGGCTGCTTTCGTCACTCGCGCGCACTGCCGTGCGCTGTGATAAATATTATCTGAGAGTTATGATGGTATTCAATAATCCAGTGTCATCTCAAGTCAGCTTATCGTATGTACCAGTTGGTGTCGTTCAGAAGAAAATTGATTATTGTATTTCATTCCTACACGTACTTGAACAAAATGCCAGATCAGTGCTCATAATTGTGAACAAATATTATTTTCTTGTTGTTTATTTCCTTTGTTCTGTTATTGAATAAATAATAGGGGTCTTCATCAAAAGTGATAAACTCTTGATAAACTTGATAAGGTTATGAATTTATCATTTTGATAACTGAACTATCAAACTTTGTATGGAAATCTATTTAACCAAAGTTTATCACTTTATCAAATGACTTTGGTGGATAAATGTATAAATTTAAGCAAAATTCAACCCCCATAGGGTTGACAATGGACGAGGTAAGAATGAAACGTAACTAGCCATATACTAAGTTAAATAATCAACAGTTTTATGCGAATATTTACCAAGGTGCGTTCATGGAAGGATGCGGATAAATTGCAAAAATTTAAACAAATTTATCCCTTTATCACTTTAGATAAAGACCCCTAATAATTAGGTGCTTTAAGAATTAAATAAACATAAATCATCTCTTCTCCCCTTTTTGACAATGTACGCGCCNTTATAATTTTATTCCAAATAAAGAAAAATTAAATTTTATCGAGTTTCGAAGGAACAAGAAATATCAATAAAAATAATTTTAAACTATGGTTTTTATTAAATTGCGTAAATTTTTTTATTTATTTTGAGACAAAATGTAAGTATACTTATTATTTCAGCATGCTACTGTGGCTGCTTTCGTCACTCGCGCGCACTGCCGTGCGCTGTGATAAATATTATCTGAGAGTTATGATGGTATTCAATAATCCAGTGTCATCTCAAGTCAGCTTATCGTATGTACCAGTTGGTGTCGTTCAGAAGAAAATTGATTATTGTATTTCATTCCTACACGTACTTGAACAAAATGCCAGATCAGTGCTCATAATTGTGAACAAATATTATTTTCTTGTTGTTTATTTCCTTTGTTCTGTTATTGAATAAATAATAGGGGTCTTCATCAAAAGTGATAAACTCTTGATAAACTTGATAAGGTTATGAATTTATCATTTTGATAACTGAACTATCAAACTTTGTATGGAAATCTATTTAACCAAAGTTTATCACTTTATCAAATGACTTTGGTGGATAAATGTATAAATTTAAGCAAAATTCAACCCCCATAGGGTTGACAATGGACGAGGTAAGAATGAAACGTAACTAGCCATATACTAAGTTAAATAATCAACAGTTTTATGCGAATATTTACCAAGGTGCGTTCATGGAAGGATGCGGATAAATTGCAAAAATTTAAACAAATTTATCCCTTTATCACTTTAGATAAAGACCCCTAATAATTAGGTGCTTTAAGAATTAAATAAACATAAATCATCTCTTCTCCCCTTTTTGACAATGTACGCGCCAATAATATTATTTTACAAACAAGTTTTAGACAAAATGTGTAATATTTGTTGCTAAAAATACAAAAGCTATATGAAAAAATGACCTCAATGAAAACTGTTCGAAAAAATTTAGAATTTTGTATTTAAAATGAATCGCAATTTTATGGGGGTCATAAAAATGCGTTTTACTCCAAACTTTGCTTTTCGGATATATTTGTCATTCTTTATTGGCACAGATATAAATATTGAATGAACTAACATATCTTAAATTTTTACAGAACTACCATTAGTATGCAACCCTGCCAATATGCAAGGAGATGTAATTTGAAAAATTTAAACGGATTTCTTCAATCAACCTGAGCTGCGGACATCTTGCGAATTTATTTTTAATCATTTTATAGAGCATTTACTAATTTTGATATCTTTTTAGATTTTTCAACTAAAACAGCATCAACGAGGTAAGCATTTAATAAATATCCCAAGTTTCATTGCATATTCTAATTGCTTGTGTGCTATTTTTTATAACAGGAAAATGGTCAGCCAGGCTTGTATCGTTGGATGCGGATTAGGGGTACCTCTGTATCCCTTCCCACCAGAGGGAGAGATCGACCGGTGAGTGTACAATATTAGTTTTGAAATAAGTGTATGTGTGTTTTTTTTTTTTGTTAATACAATTTTTTTGTGCAATTATGTCTGGGGGAACTTCGAAATAGTGCACCCGGAATCAGAAATGGCTGACTTCGAAAACGTATCAATACATGGTTTGGAAACTGTTTTACTGCGGTATTCAAAATGCAGAGTTGCGACACATCGCAACCTTATGTATTGCATATTATAAATATTCAATTTAGCAATGAACAATTTTTCTGAATTTTCCATTTTTAAAACACCAATGGTAACCAAAATAAACGAAGCATCAACTTTGTTTCTGATGCGCTGATTGCTCTAGCGATGCGTTTCGATAACTTTTCGAATGCGTTTTGAAAAAGTATACATTGTTAACATTTTGTAGTTCGGCGTTATGGGACATTATACTTTGTACGTACGCAAAGCAATAGACGTTTTGGAAGTCAGCCAATCTGTTAGTTACTCTTTTACTTAAGTTATAATATTAGTGTTGGGAGCCGTCCTTCTAAATTGCATTAAGATTTTGTATTCAAAAATGCAAATGCAAGTGGTATACTATATCGAAGTCGACACTGGAGGAATCTTCAATGGTGCATCCTTAACTTACCTAGTAGGAAATTGAAGTCGTGGGGCAATAAGTGTTAAAATTTTTTTATAATCAAACGGACTTGTCCAACAGAGTCACAGCTTTGTTCACATAGCGGTTGTTGGAAACAGCCAAAAGAAATCGAGACGGATATATGTAGGCTTAAGGCTGTGTGCGAGTACGTCTAAATTGCTACCTAAATAGAGAAAAATCCTAAATCACTGGAAAGTGTCGGTAACGCAGTGAATTGGAACAATTTAGATTTTCTGCGAGCATACTTTTCAACCTAAATTGAACAGTCAAATATATTTGAGCGAGCGATTAAGTGAACAACGATTTTTTGATGTTTTAAATAATTTTTATCATTGCTATGCCACAAAAAAGGAAATATTCAGAAAGCTGTTAGTATAAATTTATTTGATTTTTGCATTCAGATAAGTATATGTGTAATTCGATGGATGGAGCATTCTCCTTTTCTGTTGCAAATTTATTATATTGTTAAATAGTCCCAAAGCTACCACAAAATTATTCATTTTATAGATATATTTATTAAAAGCAAACAAATTCAAATTCCAAAACAAACAATTTAGGTTGTCAAACGAACTCGCACGGTTTTAGCAGCTGTTTTCCTAAATTGTAGCAGTGCTGGAAATTTCCAGTGGAATATTAGTTTAGGTACTAAAATTTAGGTCAACTCGCACACAGCCTTAATGCTAATTGCACTTTCTTCAAAACTGTTTGCTCGTAAATTTCAAGAGGGTGTAAAATTTTTTAATTCTATGATGCAAATTAGATCTGCTTTTTTTTTACAGAAATGTCGTTTTGGCCTAACGGACCGGAATGGGTATCGTTAAAATTTTTTCAATACATATCCAAATTTTATTTTAATAATCCCGCTTTTCTTGTTGATTTCCTTTCTTATTTCTACATCGCATTAACTTTTAACCAATATATGTATATACATATACATATCTGTGTTCATATGGAAAAGTAGCTTATGTCGAAAGGCTGGCTTCAGTATGAATCGGCATTCGCAGCATATGATTGCGAATGACTCACTGGCGCTGAGCCGTTGAACAAAGTTTGGCAAATAAACGTGCAAGAAACAGTCCGATACTAGCAAGTCAATATTCTTATTAAGTCTCATCAAAAAATTCCTTCTCGTTTAAACAGTAAAGGCAATGCCGCATTATACTAAAGCCAGCCTTTCTAAATAAGCTACTTTTCCATACGAACACAGATCAATTAACCAATCAAATTTTATTTTGAATCATCCCGCTTTTTTTTGTTGACTTCCTTTTTAGTTTTTACATCCCACTAACTTTTTAAACTACGTTTTTTGCTTTCCCATGTTACATTCTCATTTGCTTTTAGAGAAAAATTAAGATTTCAACTGTAGTACATCTGATGTAACGCCGAACGAGTGGCAACCCCGATTTGGGTGGCAACCCCGGTCTCCTCAAAATGGTGATGGTCGAAAATGACAGTTCAACTGTTTCCGGTGTAATGAATGATTTTTTTCGATTGGTGTGATTCTGTTCACATGTGACAGAAGTTAATCTTAAAATAAAGTTATCATCTGAGTCTGATTATAAATTCAGGTGTGAGGTTTATACTCCACGTGACCAGCGAAATCGACAATACTTATTATATTCGCGGAAAAGCCGACAATGACAGCTAGAATGACGCGAAACCAGATTATGGCTGCACTTGCAGATGCGGGAGTGGCTTTTGATAATGAAGCCACTTTGGTGCAACTCCGTGCGCTCTACGAAAGGGCACAACGCGGCAGCCTACCTCAGCAGCAACGCCCTGATGCTTTACAGCAGGCAGATGCACCACAGCAGCCAGATGAACCACAGCAGCCAGCAGTACCACAGCAGCGCCCGCAAATTTTTCAGCAGCCAGACGTCCAACAACAAGGGGATGCGATACAGGCACCAACAACTATGCGCTGCCAGCTTCTGGAGCAACCGCCTCCAGTGGGGTCGGAGCGCTCGTCGCCGTCTACGGTCCGTCAGCGGTTATCTGAAGCTGAGGAAGAAGAAGAGTTACTAAACCGACAGCTAGCCATTGCCCGGAAAAGGCGAGAGCTGCAAATATTGCAACAGGAGCTGGGCGTCAATGAGAAACGTTTAGACCTGGCCATTCTGGATGCTATGGTCGTCAAGTTCGATGGCTCGGAGCTACAAGACGTACGCAAGTGGACCGGTGACCTAGAGAACGTCTTCGAAGCGTACAATTATGCTGAACGCGACAAGCTAGTGGCAGCCCGCCACTTGATGACTGGGCAAGCGAAGCGTTTTGCATCCATCATAACGGTGCGATCGTATGGGGAGCTTAAAGCGGCATTATTGCAGGAGTTCGAAAGGGCATTTTCTATGCAGGATGTGTTTGCGCAATTGAAAGCACGCACGATGAAGTCAAACGAAACGCCCCGACAATACATTATCGAGATGCAGCTTATCGCTAGTCGCTCCAACATTCCAGAACTGGAATTAATCGATATAATAATCGATGGTCTCCAGGACAAGTCATCGCAGGTATCGATGCTTTACAGTGCCACCACTTTAGCCGAATTGAAGGTACTCATGGAACGATATGAGAAAAAGAAGCGAATCAGAACTCAGTTCGCTAATACAGCCACTGGCGGAAAACAAAAGGAAGGAGCAGCAGCTGGTAGCACCCAGGGCGGTGCAATTAAACAAGAAAATGTCCGCTGTTTTAATTGCTTCGCGTACGGGCATTTCCAAAGCGCCTGTACGGCACCCAGACGCCATCCAAATGCTTGCTTTGTGTGCAACGAAGTAGGGCACACTCGATTCGATTGCCCGAAAAAGAAGACCAGAGGAGTAGCGGCGGCCGTGACAGCAGTAGAAGCAACAGACGAAAATCTGGAAGATCGTCTAGTACGTAGAGTAGTGGAGCAACTTACTGCAAAAAATTGGGTGAGTGTTGCCTTTTATTTACAGGATAAGTGCACTGAACCAACCTATTGTTATGTTCTCTTTGATACCGGCAGTCCGGTTAGCTTTGTGCGGAAGTCCTGTGTGCCTTCTGGCTTTATTAATAAACAACAATCAACTATATACAGAGGCGTTGGAAATAAACGATTATTTACGTACGGAACGATTACGTGTAAAGTTTTATTTCGGGGAAGTGAAGTTAAACATAAGTTTTTAATTTTACCCGATGACCAAGCAATAGTACCTTGGTTATTCGGACGAGACATTTTGAGCCGAATGGGCATTAATTTATTTAAAATGATTAATGTAAAGTATGACAAAAATGAATTACTTGATTTGCGCAATAAAATAGCAACGAATAAATATGTTAATGACATTTTCAGTGCACTTAACTTGTTTAAAATTTCAAAGGAATCGGATACAAATTTTGTAAGAGCTGCACCCAGCGAGGGAAATCTGCTTGATGAAAGTGGGGAAAAGCTGGCGTTGGTTGAGACCGACGAGGTGACAGAGGAGGAGTTAGACAGTGAGGGCGGGAGGAACGTTCCATTGAGACCATACGATATAAGTGATCAGTTGACAAGAGCAGATGCTGACGCAGTAGAAAGGGTAATTCTTAAACAATATACAGAAGTAGTGGAAGGTAAAATGTTGAAAAGTTACTTTATGAAGATTTCGGTGAAAAGTGACACTCCTGTGTATAGCGTTCCACGGAGACTGTCATTTAAAGAGAAAAAGGAAGTGCAAGAAATAATTGACAGTTTATTGTTGCAAGGGATTATAAGACCCAGTGAGTCCCCGTATGCGTCGCCGATAGTGCTAGTTAGGAAAAGGGATGGGAAGTTACGGATGTGTGTAGACTATAGAGAGCTAAATAAAATAACTATTAAAGATCGGTTCCCGTTACCCTTAATTGAAGACTGTCTAACGTACCTGGCAGGGAAAAGTTATTTTAGTACGTTGGACTTACGAAATGGGTACCATCAGATTCCGATGCATGTAGACTCAATACCGTTGACAGCTTTTGTGACACCGATGGGGCAATATGAGTACAACTTTGTGCCATTTGGGTTGACTAACGCCCCGGCTGTCTTCCAAAGACTGGTGAACCAAGTTCTGAAGCCGTTGATTAGCCGTGGGGAAGTGGTGGTCTACTTAGATGACATTCTAGTGGCCACAGGCACCATTAAGGAGCATAGTGAAGTGTTAGGGCGAGTGTTACGATTACTTGCGGAGGCAGGATTGAAACTGAACTTTGATAAATGCAAATTTGCGTATCAAGAGTTGGAGTATTTAGGTTATAGGGTCAGTTGTAAAGGAATCCGCCCCAGCAAAAGACAGGTAGAAGCCATCAAAACATATAGTGAACCACAGACGGCCAAACAAGTACAACGGTGCCTTGGGTTATTTTCCTATTTTAGGAGATTCGTACCAAATTTTTCGCGAATAGCTAAACCACTTAGTCGATTGCTGGGTAAAGATGTCCGATTCGAGTGGACAGCCCAGTGCAAGGACGCCTTTCAGACTCTAAAGAACCGACTGGCGGAGTCGCCCGTTCTGAGTATATTTGACCCGAATCGTGAGACTGAGCTACACACAGACGCCAGTGCGCATGGATATGGGGCCGTCTTGCTGCAGAAGCAGTCGGACCATAAGTTCCATCCAATAGCATATTTTTCAAGAAGCACCACAGATGCCGAGACGCGTTACCATAGCTTCGAACTGGAAACGTTGGCAATAGTTAGGGCTCTGGAGCGATTTAGAGTATTTGTCCATGGAATCCCGTTCACCATTGTGACAGACTGCAATTCATTGGTATTGGCTCTGAGTAAGAAACAGATCAATCCACGGATTGCTCGGTGGTCCCTAGCCTTGGCAGAATTTGATTTCAAGATTAAACATCGGTCAGGAGAGCAGATGGCACATGTGGACGCACTAAGCAGGTCAACGTGTGTAGGCACAGTGGAAGAAAGTGAAGTAGACGTTAACATTCAGATAGCTCAGATGAGAGACCCGGAAATTAAAGAGTTGAAAAAGAAGTTGGAAGTGGCTGAGGTGTCTGGATTTGACATGGAGAACGGACTGGTGTTCCATGTGGAGGATGGTAGACGACAACTCTACGTACCTAGGGAGATAGAAAATAATGTGATTCGACTAGTACATGAGACGTATGGTCATTTAGCGGTGGATAAATGTGTCGACCAGATAAAGAAACACTATTGGTTTCCGGGGTTGAGAAAAAAGGTTAAGAGTTTCCTAGCTAATTGTTTGAAGTGCATTTATTATTCAGGCCAGGCTAGAAGCAATGAAAGGTGTTTGTATAGTATTCGAAAGAAGCCCGAACCATGGGATACTCTACACATCGATCATTTTGGTCCTCTAGAAACGGTGAGGTCTAAGCGCCGGCATGTTCTGGTAGTCGTAGATTCATTTACCAAGTTCGTTAAATTATACGGTGTAAACACTAGTACAAAAGAGACCGTATGTGCGTTGCGCAAGTACTTTACCGATTACAGCCGGCCCCGAAGAATTATCAGTGATAGAGGGTCTTGTTTCACTTCTGTTGAGTTTAGGGAGTTTTGTAGGCAGCATCATATAGAACACGTTTTGAACGCTGTAGCGTCTCCGCAGTCAAATGGGCAGGTCGAGCGGGTGAATAGGGTCTTGAAGAGTATGTTGGCCAAACTCACTGATCCTATTGACCATACAGATTGGAAAAAGAGACTTGTCGACGTCGAATTTGCTATAAACAACACGGTCCACAGTAGCACTAAACAGACTCCCTGTAAATTATTGTTCGGTGTGGAGCAACGGGGACACGTGGTTGACGAGCTAACCGAGTATCTGCAAGGAAAGTATGTTAGTGAAACCGTAGATCTGAAAAGAACCAGGGAGCAGGCGGACGAAGCTATTCAGACGTCACAGAAAAGAAACGAACGATACTTCGACCGCACTCACAAACCGGCCCAACAGTTTGAGGTTGGCGAGTTTGTCGTGATCAAGAATGTAGACACTACAGTGGGTAAAAATAAGAAGCTTATTCCCAAATATAAAGGACCTTACGTCATCCAGAAACAATTAGGGCACGACCGTTACGTTGTGACCGACATAGAAAATTGCCAGAACACACAGATTCCTTACAGCAGTATCCTTGACTCGAGCAGACTCCGACGCTGGGTGCAGTTCAGCCCGGGTGGCGATGATCCGAGACAGGAAGGCAACAACTCTTTAAGCCCAGACGATGAAGTAACTAATTATTCATGTAATGATGATGAGTGTACCAACTATGAGTATTTGGAAGAGACCGAGGAGCCCCACTAGCGGCAATCGTGGGCGATTGTTTTGTCAGGTTAAGGCCGAATTGTAGTACATCTGATGTAACGCCGAACGAGTGGCAACCCCGATTTGGGTGGCAACCCCGGTCTCCTCAAAATGGTGATGGTCGGAAATGACAGTTCAACTGTTTCCGGTGTAATGAATGATTTTTTTCGATTGGTGTCATTCTGTTCACATGTGACAGAAGTTAATCTTAAAATAAAGTTATCATCTGAGTCTGATTATACAACTAATATGCATTTACTTGGAGAAACCCTAATTATATACTAACTTAATCTCTGATTAATAATCAGTTACATAGTACCTTGCACTTTTTTGCTCACTTATATATGTATGTACATATGAATCCACATAAGTATGTATATCGCACACGATCTTCAAAGGTGACACAACTCAATATAACAGTTTCGTCATAAAATGTGAAAAACTATTTCGTAGTACATGCTAATCATATGGGCAAGGAAAACTTTACCTTAGGTTTTTTTCATCAAATTATAACACAAATTTGTTCAAGCTTTTGCTGAAAGGTAAATAAATGCTCGGTGTAAATTTTTTACACATAATATCAAAAATGCCAAATTTTGAGTTGTGTCACTTTGAAGAAGACCATATGTGCATACATTAAATCTAATGCATGATTTTTTATTTTTACTAGGCGGCGTGAATGGTTACGGCCATTGGGTGTGACTGGCCCGACAGCAAAATTTATTTTCGCATGGCAAAGGCATTTTTCCCACAAGGTGAGAGGGGGACGGATCCTCTATAGATGGGCAGTTCCGGATATTAATTTAAGAGTATGTTCGCCCCCAGTGACAGTTGACAGGGAAAATTACTTAGGTAGTATTATAGAAGCAGATATTTTAGTTGACCGAAACGCACAATACTCTGTAATAGAGTTAGGCGTCGAAGATTTTCAACCGGTACTTGTTTCGCCCAAAGAGGCAGAAAGGGCTTCAACCTCAAATATTGTTGAAGATTCCTTAGAAGAGTCCCTTCCACCCGCTTCACATGATGAAGTAAATTCTTCTTTAGGTCACTTCTTAAAACTTGGGCTAATAGTAGGCAAACACAAACGGATAAATACCTTACTGATGGGACTCCTAGAAAAAGAAAATACCGGGAAGAGTTGGATAGGAACAATGAGGAGTTAGGATTGCTACGAGAAAAGGTAGCAATCTTAGAAAAAAAGGTTTATAGTTAGGAGGCTTACCCGGATTTGGCTGTTAATAGTCAGAACAGCCAAATCGAAGAGCTATGTGGTAAATTGCCTCCATATCTTGCAATATGCGTGAGGAATTGCCTTAGGAATATCCCCCGAACTCCTAAAGGGTACAGGTTTGATAGGGAGTTGAAAACATTAGCCCTTGCCGTAAAATTCCTGTCAACTATTGCTTTTAGGTACTTAAAGCCCCTTTTCAACTGGCCCTCTCGAAAAACCCTGGAACTATTTGTTCAAGGTTGGCCACGCAACCCTGGATGCAAGAGCTGAGAAGCCGTGGTTTCACAGATGCGCAGAAATATGTCTCCATCTGTTGCGACGAAATGTCTTTAAAAGTCCATGTACAATATGAGAGGAATAGGAGACGAAAATCGTACCTCCAGAGTGGCTTCAAGTGTCTTAACAATTTTGGACGCATCCCTTAGCATATTTTTTGTGCACAAATCGTGCAAAGGAGATGTTTTGAAAAAATATATTTTCGAAGCCATAGGTCAGCTCCAGGGTATTGGACTTTATCCCTGCCAAATGGTAACCGATCAAGGGTCGAATTTCGTTAGTTTTTCGAAAATTGTAGGAGTTTCCAGAGAACGACCCTTCTTCGAAGGTAATGGCCAGGAAATCGTATATTTTTTCGACTCTCCGCATCTCCTCAAAAGTACTAGAAACTGTTTAGAAAACCAGAAAAATAAAGTAACTTTTCAAGGCCGCCCTGTAGATTGGATGGATATTGTGCATCTCCATGAACAAGGGTCTCAATATGATATTTCCTGTACCCATAAACTTACCTCGGCACATATTAGACCTAAAACCTTTCATAAAATGAGCGTGCATTTAGCATCGCAGGTTTTTAGTAGCTCTGTGGCAAGCGCAATGTTTGCTATCTATGGCTCGGGGCTTTTAAATAGTTCAAGGTCCCCTTCCTTTTTTAACACTGCCGAATTTGTCCTTTTCTTTGACAAATTATTTAATATTTTTAATAGTATATACTTTGGGGATGTAGGAAATTTCAAACAACCCTTTCAAGGTATTGTAGACCAACTTACTTTTCTTGACTAAGCCGAACAGTTTTTGAAGTCCATTAAAGTTTACGACGACTAGGGTCGCGATATTACCAATACGTATAGTTTTATTAAAGGTTGGGTCCTAAATATTAGTAGTTTACGTCGTTTGTGGCGATTCTTGTCACAACGAATACACTTTTTTATTGACACGTAAATTATGCCAGGACAAAATAGAAATTTTTTTTGGTCATATTCGTAGAGGGGAGTCCTTTGATGTGAGAATAACGCCGCAGTGTTTCTCATATCTCTTTAGGCAAGCCTGGGGTATAGGATATATTAGATGCGTAGATAAAGGGAACTGTGAAATCTTGCCTGAAGATAAGTAGGAATCATTTTCTAATAGCACCCTTATTATAGCTTGTGACGATGTTTTAGTCAGAGATACTTCCTGGCAAATATTTCAAGGCATACCCAGGCCTAGTTTAAGCTCATTTCAAGATGCACAAATCGATATTTCGGTCGATATTGATGAAAGTAGTTTTCTTCAACGAAGCGCTTTTGTTTACTTCTGCGGCTACATGTAGTTTAAATATTTCAAGCATCATAATTGCTTAATGCCATTACCAAGATTTGAAGATGGAATTACTGAAAAAGATTTCTTATTCACTATGGAGCAGCAATTTAGTAATAGCCATCTTGTTAGTCCTCCCAATGAATTTGTTGAGTTTATGTCCAAAATCGAAAAAATCTACACAGATAATTTCGATTCAAATTGTCATAGCATTGGGTTTTCCCAAATCTTATTTGAGAAAATGATAGACGTAGAGCCATACTATTGTTGCGAAAATTGCAACCCCGATGTTTTAAAATGTATTTTCATAAGAATAAGAACTTATTTTCTGGTTAAGAGTTTCAATAAGAAAGCGAACCAACCAAATTTTAAAAACATTAAGTTTTTGTGTGTAACACACCAATAGAGTTCGCTTTCAGTCTAAGTGTCTGTCTGCAAAGTCCGAATCCGTCTGAAAAATAGGGTTTTATCGATTTGGGTGTCTTCAAATGAGCTACCCATGTAGTTAGCTTCCGTGCCCATTTCCTTGTTCTTTAATTTGCACACTTCTATGGGCGTAAGACCTTTCTTTTTTCTCATCTACATTTCAAATTAGTCTGGGTGTCTGTCTGCAAAGTCCGAATCCTTGTTCCCATTTCCTTGTTTTTTGATTTGCACATTTCTTATCTTTTCTACAGGCGTAAGACCTTTCTTTTTATATTTCTATTTTTATATTCATATTTATATATTTGTTTATTTTTTTTTTAGTGCAGGCCCTATATCCCCACCACATTTATTTTTATTATTATTTACTTTGTTTGTTAGCCTGTCACTGGGGGCGGTTTTGTAAATACTATGTAAATATTTTGTAAATACTTTGTAAAATATGTATCTGTAAAATTACATACCTGAATTGTAATACAAATATTATTTTGTTTGTTTTTGTTGCAAGCAGTATTATTTAGTCGTTCTCTTATTTTTGATTATGTATTTGTATTAGAGATGGGCACGGGCCTAAATTTTCGAGCCCGGCCCGGCACGAGCGCTTTCAAAAACACGCACAAGCCTGCACGTTAAGAACTTTAAGGGGCCCGGCCCGGCCGGAAATAAAGAGCCAACTTTTATTGTATGTATACATATGTACATATTTTTATACCCGAGTGCACTTGTGCACAAGGGTATTATAACTTTGTTCACATAACGGTTGTTTGTAACAGGCAAAACGAATCGAGATAGATATAGACAAATGTATACATAAATGATCAGAATGAAAAGAGAAATCGATTAAGCNACCAAACTCGGTATGGTTATTGTGCTTGCCACATAAAAGCAAAACGTTGAAAATTATTGAAATCGGACTAAAATTACGACCGCTTTTCATATAACGGTATATTTCAGAAATGCTTGAAACTGCAATATTTCGAAATTTAAGGACGCTAATTTACTTAAAATTTATACACCCCGGATTATCGTGTAGCGGTAGCTTTCGGAAAGGTGGAAAACATATATTTAATAATTGCGCCGGGTATTTAATGTTCGGCTCCGCCCGAACTTAGACTTTCTTACTTGTTAATTTTGTGTTTATGTTCATACGTATATTTACTTAAGCGAATCAATATTTTACATCAAAGATTTTAATAACATATTTTCTGGGAAGTAGAAAAAGTGGGAGGTATTTTATGTACAGATATGTATGTAAACAAAACTACTAAGTATCATATATTTTCTATAGGTTTCCAAATATTTTGTTTTGCTTTTCTCTTATCAAAAGAGTTTTAAATACGTACTATTTTTTTTGTATAAACACAAAAGCTCATCTAAATTTTTAGTATTAGCAACGGGCTTTTTCGTGCCTTTTCGTGCTTTTATGAAATTTTACTGAACGCCCAGGCCCGCACGAGTTCGTGCTGACAGCAAATATTCCAGCCCGTACCCGCGGGCTTACGCAGGGGACCGTCGGGCCCCTGCCAAATGCCCGGCCCGTGCCCATCTCTAATTTGTATACTTATTTATATATGTACATCAGTACCTTAACAAAGAAAATCCCCAACTAATTTTCCAGCTTTCAAAAAGTATTACTTTTGTACACATTAAATCGCTAAACAGATTAGCCTTTGATTATATTTTAACCACATATATATTTTTTTTTTTGTTAAGTTAATGCTATTTATTTTATATGGGTGAAAATAGGCCTCCTGGGGAACCGAACACCTTAAAAAAATCGGTAACGCGCTTGTATTGCTACCTCAGCGGTGGTGTGGAAGAGCAGTAAGTAAATAAATATATTTTTATCAGAAAATACAAATGACTCGTTTTATTTTAAATAAAGTGTAATAGGTTGTTTTTTTTTCAGGGACCGAAAATAACTTATAAATCCAACAAGAATTACTCACCACTCAAAATATCAGAGATAATCACTCAAAATATCACCAGATAACAATTTTTTTGTGAAAGAAAAATAGAACTCTTGCTGTATATGTGGGAGTAGGTCCTAGTATGGTAAGACGGCAACACCGACACTAGTCCTTTAGTATAGGCAGGTAACCCTACTGACCGAACTTGACGAACCTAACGAACGCATTGTCTAAATATGGCTGACCTAACTGTTAATATCGAATGTACAACAGAGTTCATTGTCGACCGTCACCGCGAGTGCCTGCCTGCCTACCGTTCCACGTAGTACTTACTATATTTAAGAAGTCCACTGTGTATTATTTGTTAAAGTTAAATAAAATAAAGTTACAAAGCTCAAAACCCCACTCGGTATCCTACAAAAGTGCTGTAAGAAGAGGGATTGAACAGCGCCAGCAAGCGCACGTGCAAAAACTTTTATCTAGTTGAAAAAGTGAACTACACATGTACACATGTACATAAGCGGAAAAGCTCGCAAATAAAGACTAGCGAAATAACATAAACTTTGCGGTTAAAAGTGGCATAATTGTGCAAATAGTTGAAAGGCGAAAATTAGCATAATTTTGCGGAAAGTAAATCTACTTCGCAGAAAATTTGCAATAACGGTATCTGTGGCAGAGGCAAGGCAGCGGTAACGGTAGCTAAGTCCCGCATATATACACATAAGTATATAAGCCGGCACAGGCGCATTAACGCAAAGCCGATACTTCGTTGGCAGAGACGACAACAGAGCTGAACAGCGCTGCAGCTGCGCAAACAAAGCGGCGAAATATTCGAAGTTGTATGAAACAGAAGAGTTCGACTGAGGTGAAGTACTATGCAGAAGTAGTTGCATTGAAGAGTACGAAGTCGAAGTTGTATCCAAAGCTACAACAGGAGCAGTCGAAAGTTGTTGCATCGAACCTGCATTGTGTGTTGCGGTCGATGTTGTAGCCAAGTAGTGGTTGGAAAAGCAGGAGGTTGGTGTCTTCTC